AAGGTAAGGGACCCTGGATCTGCAGGGGAATGTCAGGCTTTAAAATTTTGGAGGAGGCAGCCATGACAACTATAGCCAGGGGAGTGTCAACCAGTACAGCTTGATGCTGGAAATACAACACCCTGTCCATAGGTCATCTCACTGGGTCCTCACAATCACTCTCTGCCACAGGCAGAGTCTCCACTAAGAAGCAAGCCCCACACACAGGGATTTCTGGCTGATATAAGTGAATTCACTGCTGTAAGTGAATTAATGAATGTCCACTTTACAGGTGAGGAAACTGAAGCTCAGAGAGGTTCTCATGGCTCACCCTGAGAAACCTACCCACTGTGAGGGCCCTGCCCCACCTCTGCCTCCCCATTGCTGGCCTCAAAGACACCCGCTCTGTCTTCACCCACAGGTGGCAGAGTGGTGCAAGCCGGTGGGGGAGGGGGAGGGGAAGGAGGTTGGATAGGTCTGATTGTGTCCCCCTAAAAGTCCGAGGACCCCCTTAGCCTACGTGTTCCCTAAGCCATCTTTGGGCTGAGGGTCTTTGAGCTGGGTTGAATGCACCCTTCTCTCCTGGCTTGGCCCCCAACAATGACATGGGACTTTGGGTTGGTCACTCAACCTCTTGGCCTCGTTCTTCCACGTCCGTAAAATGAGAAGTGGCCCCTGTCCACACCTTCATCCCCCTTCCCTCCTGGAACTGGCCTCAAACACAGCTGGCTGGCAACTTGAGCTGAACCAGGAGTGGGATGGGCCACAATGGTATGAAGAGAGAGAGGAAATGGCTGGGGCTACCACTTCCTGCCACCTGGGAGAGCCCTGACACTACAACGCTTGGCCTTCGAATCTTTCCACCATCACCTCTGTGGGTTGTTGATGGTGAGGGGTATTTCTTCTGCTCCTCCTATTTAGTTGCTGCCCCTGGCCTCCTTTCCCTCTTCTCTCCTTAGTCTCACTCCCCAGGGATGTCCTCAGGTATTCTGAGGTCAGCCACTGTCCATGTACCAATCAGCCAGCATCCCAAATTCCAGGCCCAGCCTAGTCTGGCTGCCCACCACTCACCCCATGAGGCCCCTGGGTCAGGCTCTGTTCAACACAGAGCCTGGCATCTCCTGGGGCTGCATGGGAGGAGGCCCTGCCCTGACTTCTCTCTAGCACCAGGAGGCTCCAGCCGACTACCCAGACATCACTCGAACCTCCACCTTGGCCTGACCCACTGAGCTCAGCAGTGCCTCCCCCTTTTAATGGTGGCACAGTCTTCCTGGCCTCAGCCTCTAAACCTCTGCCCTCTAACTCCCCCTCTCCTTTTTTTCCACATCCAGCCTCTTCCCAAGTTTGGCCAATTCTGCTGCAAGATGTCCACTTTGCTCTTTATTTTCTATTCTTAGGTTGTGTTTTTATTTGTTTGTTATTTATTGGTGGTACTGGCCTCACACTTGCTGGGTAGACACTCTAGCATTTGATCCACGCTGCCAGCCTGGACGATGTCTTTTAATTATCAAACATGCATAGAGCACTTGAATCTTCAAAGCTGTGAATCTTCCTAGCTCTGTCCTAAGTGCTTTACACATACTAACTCCCTTAGTTATCACAACCTTGGTGTGAAATGAGGAAACCGAGGCACAGAGAAGTGAAGCATTTGCCCAGGTCCAGGATTTGGATCCAGGCTGGCTGCCACAGTCTGGACTCTGAGCCTCTGTCATCAGGGCTTTCAGAATGTCTGCAGGCTCAGTCCTATACCTTGTCTCACCTCTTTCATGCCCTCCCACATACTGCTCACAGACAAAACCTGCTTCCTTCCTTATTTAAGAAAACAAACATTACTATAGCAATTTCATCCATTGGAAGCATGACTTTGAACATGGCATTACTCAAAAAATCTTGATACTCCCCCATTACTTCCCCACCTCCTGCAAATGAATAACGCCCATCTCCAGCCTGGAAATTCAAGGGTGGGACCTCATAACCTCCCCAGCTATTCTAGGGACCCCTCACTGTTCCCAACTCTCCTCAGGCCCTTCAGCTGTTCAGCTGGGCCTGAGCACAACCTCCAGCACTGCCCACCTTCTTCTTGCACAGCAAGGGGTGGGGGAAGCCTGAAAGGAGCAAAGCCTCCTTGGAATAAAGGCTGGTTTGTGATTCCCCTCCCAGAGTGTGTTGCACAGAGATGGGTATGACAAGCATGATGAGTGAATGCTGGATGAGGGTGGAAGCTAGTATTTCACTAAACTTTTGTGGAACCCTCAAGGTTAACACTAATAGCTACAGCAGGAACTTATTGTGTTCTGGGTACTGTGTTAAACTTACAAATATTATCATTTGATCTCTCTGGAGACTGCTGAAGTTGGTGCAATCACTCTCTCACTCTTACTTTATAGATGGGGAAACAGGCTCTGAGACAGGAACTCACTTGTCATTCAACTTTCAAGTAGGGGAGGTAGGATCTACCTCTGACCTGTGCTTTGACCACCATGTCACTGCCTCCTAGCCTGTCACTGTCACTTGCACTGATGACTTCAAAATGTCTGCATAATATAAGGATTTTGTAGATTGAACTTCACATATTCAAATAGTCGTTCATCTACTATATCTGTGCCAGGCACTGCTTTAACCCACAGGTGTAGAGCAATGACAAACACTCCCATGCCTATGTCCCCTTATGGAGCTGCTGATACTCTAGTGGGAGAGAGAGAAAAGGAGAGAGATAGAGAGAGAGGAAGCTAAAATGTAAGTCAGGGCTAAGGGTGTACCTAAGTGGTAGAGTGCCTGCCTAGCAAGTTTGAGATCCTAAGTTCAAACTGCAGTACTGCTAAAAAAAGAAAAATAAGTCAAGGCTAGGGTGTAGCTCAGTGGTAAAGCACTTGCCTAGCATGTATGAGGCCCTGGGTTCGATCCCCAGCACTGAAAAAAAAGGTAAGTCTGAGGTGACAATTGCCATGGGAAAAATAAAGCTAGCACAGGAAAAAGGGACTGTCTAATGTGCTGTGGGGGGGTTATGTTGGTGTATGGCTACTATATGCAAGATGAGGAAGATTCCCCATTAAGGTGATGTCTAAGTAGAGCAGGGAAGCAAGTAAGGAAGTACAAAGGTCCTGAGCTAAGAGCATGCTTGCCCCAGTCAAGAAACAGACAAGAGGCCTGTGCGGTTGGAACAGAGTGAATGGGGTGGAATGGGGAGAGAAGAAACGGGGATTCTGAAACATGACAATGCATAGACCTATATAAAGTCAGGCCACATGTCTGGGAAATATTAATAGCTACAATGTATGGTGCGGTGTGTTCCTCATACCTTGGCACTATACTCAGTCCTATAGCAAAAAAACTGATATAGACAGAATTTTTGCAGTCTAACAGGGAGACAAAGAAATTCCACAGCACCGCATAACGGACACTACATCAGGGTGCTCAGAAGCTACAAACAGGCACATCTAAATTGGCCTTGGAGGATGTGGCACTTGAGCTGTCAAGTAAGAGAAGAAAAACACCTCCTGAAGGCAGATACGGAGAGAGGGCACCCAGACTTGGCATGGCCCAAGCACAGCTTGAGCAGCAGTGCTGGGGACCAGGGACAGCTTGCTGGAGGAAGGGCTTGGGTGTACAGGGATGGGGCTGTCCAGGTTTAAATGTACATGTGTGGAATTGGTTATGAAAAGGAGGATGAAGGGCAAGAAGAGGAGGAATAAAGACTTTCACAATCTCCCTTCCCACCCAGGCCCTGCTTTCTCATCAGTCTTTAGGTGGATCAAGCTGGGAGATGACAAGGGAACAGAAAGTAAGTGACCACCTTCACTGGCCCAGCTGCTGGTTTCTCACCTCCTCTAGGAGGTCCTCACCCTTCTTTTAATCTACCCAGTGTTCACCCTGGGGTAGCAGGAGATTTCTTGGTTAATAACAACTCACACTGCAGCTCTTCTGGTCTTCAGGGTGCTTTTCCTGCTGTAACCCTAGTGTCCTACAGTCAATCCAGGAGGGCAGGAGGAGATGCTGCAGCTCAAGAGGTTAAGGGCCTTGCCAAGGTCACACCACCAGTGGGTGGCTAAGTTGGGACTTGAGCCCAACTCAAGATTGCAAGCCCCACAGAAAACTGCAGCAGCTATGGGGCATTGTGATGACTGAGTTCCAATGACAAGGCTGGGAAAAGGGGTGAACTGGGCTCTAGAATGAGGAAAAGATAGAGATGGAGACTGAAGGGGAGGCAGGAAGACAGCAGAGCAGGGGTTTGGAGAAATGTGGAGCCAGAACTAGAAGTGTTTCCAGAATGACCTGGTTAAATGTCCCAACAGGGTTGAAAAAGACAGAAGCTGCATTCGTCCAACCATGTCTCTGAAAGGAGAGAGGGACCTTTTGCTCCCATTTCACAAGTGAGAAAACTGAGGCAAGGAGCCGTGGCTAGTGGCATGCTGAAGACCCATAGTAACTTAAGGTCACCATAATAAATTAAGGGACCCAGTTTTGAGCAGGCGGGTAGACAAGATACACTGGACTTTCTCACTTTATGGTAGATGGTGAAATAGACGATGAGAGGTGAGTTGGTGATAAAAACCCAAATCAAGACGACATCCAAACAGGGAGGGGACAATGAGGAGGCTGGAGCTTGTCTGCGGCAGAGATGGTAGCTCTGGTTTCAGGGCAGGCTGGCAGGCAGCATCAGCTGGTCGGGTGGCACAGAGTGCCCGCGCCTCCTCCCGCCCCCTGCGGACCCATCCACTTGGGCTGCACTGCAGCGCCGCGCTCCCCTGTCCCGGGGAGGCGGGAAAGTACTGGGGAGGGGGAGCAGAGAACCGGGTGGTGCACATCTCTTCCCTGGGCTCTAGAATCTGCAGCGTCCTCCGCAGCATCCTCCCTGGCCCGTCCCCCCCCACTCCCTCCCCGCTCCCCCCGCGCGGATGGTACGCTCCGGGTCCGCCTGGCCAGGCTGCGGTGGATGTTGCTAGAACCCACGCGGAGGAAGGAAAAGACGCAGGCAGGCTGCTGCTACCCAAGCGGCTGCCCCTGCATCAGGGATTCCTTCCTGGAGAGACAGCACCATGACCCAGGGAAAGGTACTGGCATCTCCCCCGCCTGCGCCATCCTCCACCCTCTGGAGTAGGCCCTTTCCTTCCTGTCTCCCTGTCATCCTGAGCAAGCTTTCTGGACCACTCTAAGCATCCTCCCTCAGCTCCAGTGCGCACATCCTCTGTGGTCCTTGCTGAAGTCAGAGGACCAAAAGGCCCATTTCAAAGAATGGGCCAGCACCTCTCCCATCCCCAAAGCTCTCTCCCCTCTCTCCTGTCTCTCTTCCATTCCATGCTTTGACATGACAAGACTCTCACAGGCACAGCAGGCCCCTGTACGGAGTCAGCTTGGGTGAGCGGCATGACTGTATGTATGTGTGTGTGTGTGTGTAAGCCAGGGGGAGCTTTAAGGGGCAGTACCTATGGGCATCCCTCCCTTCCCAAACCTAAACACTTTAGGACTGTGTTTCACACCGTCTACTTACACCCTCTCCCCAACTCCCTGTCAGTACTCTGCATTTGAATTGCTGGATACATATCCTATGGTTGGGGTTACTATGGCAATCCTGCATCAAGATGCTCTGATTTTTGTTTTTGTTTTGGCCAGGCATGAGACTAGATGGAAGTGGAAAAGAAGAAAAAATTTTCCCCCAGTTTTAGGCCTGAATTTGTAGAGGAGGAGCTGGGCAGAGACTTGGCTGGCCCATTTGGGTTATGTAACATCAACAGCCTGTGGAATTATACAATCACTAGGGCCTAGGGCAAAGTCGGGGGGGGGGTCCTCTGGCTGTCTGTTGTAGGGGGTGCTAAGGATTGGGCAGAGAAAACAGGAGTAGGCCCTCTCCTCTCTCTTTCTCTCCTCTGAAGCAAGCTTCAGAGCCAGTGGCATCTCTCCCCGGGTCCTCAGACCCTCCTTTCTCTGTTTTTAAGCAATTCTGAGCCTCAAAATGATGTCATTGGGTGATACCACCTCCTGTCATTGACCAGATATCACTTGGGAGTGCCTTAGGTGGGGAGGTAGGGCCCAAGAGGCTCTGTGGGTGGGGGGCTGAGTGGCAGGAGAGGGAGACTGAGATGGGTTTCCCTGGGTATGCCCCCTCTGGTCTGTGTGATCAAAGGGTTGGGGAATAGAAAGGATGCATTCCCACAGGCCTTGGTCCTTCTCTGAGGAGGTATGGGAATGTTGAGTGAGGTAAGAATGAAGAAGAATTCCTCTGCAGAGCCTCCTCTTCTACTCCCCATCTCACCTCACAATCACCAGCTGCCATTGCTTTCTTTCCTGGGGAATGGGCCCCCTGCCTCCTTGGCCCCTCACCCCAGCCCACCACAAGTCTTCTGGAGGAGGCATAAGCCTCCCCTGGTCTCGTGGTCCTTGGTCTGGGTAAGGATCAGAAGTCTCTGTGCCTCCTTGGCCAGCTGCCCTGCACGGAGCTCACAGCTTTCTTCAATGGCCCTTCAGTTCAGCCTGGTCTTCTTGGAACCAGACCTAAATATCACTTTTTGAGACCAATCCTTTTGTTTTATTTCTGTTTTCACATCCCTGCTCTGTGTCAACCTCTCCTTCTCTCACCCTCCCCACTCACATCTCCCACCAAAGCTAAACTGTCTGTCACAGGGTTGGGAGGCCTATATATGAGTATTAACAGATTTGAGTTCTCAATGTGCCATGGGTGCATTTCCCTCTGGACCTCATTTCCCTGTCTGTTAAGCAAAGGAAGGGACTAACCTAGATGTCTTCTGAGGTCCCTTCCAGCAGTGACATTCTGTGATTCGAGTTGGGGGAGAGAGGCTGAGGTTCCAATAGGACCAGGGCAGAAACAGTTCTGCCATCTATAAACTAGCACAGGGAGGTTTCAGGAATGGAGAGGCTGGCAAGGAGGGGTTGCAAGGCTTTCTTTCCCTGATGACCATCTCTCTCTGCCTCCACTCCACAGCTTTCTGTGGCTAACAAGGCCCCTGGGACTGAGGGGCAGCAGCAGGCAAATGGTGAGAAGAAGGAGACTCCAGCAGTGCCCTCTGCCCCACCCTCCTATGAAGAGGCCACCTCTGGGGAGGGGCTGAAGGCGGGAGCCTTCCCCCCAGCTTCCACAGCTGTGCCTCTCCACCCAAGCTGGGCCTATGTGGACCCTAGTAAGTCTGTCAGCAAATAGAGGCTGGAGCATCAGGGTGTGGTTAAACCAATTGGAAAACCTGCGTAGGAAGTTGTCCAGATGCAATGTACTGTGTGGTTGTCATATGGAGCTGTATTATCAAAGACATAGGCTTTGGAGAACTATTCTGAGGGTAAGTCAAAGAGGACTCTGTGAAAACAGGGAAATGTAATGTTCGCAACAGTCAGGGATTTTTTTTCAAGTAGCTAAGGTAGAGCAATAAAGAGGGTAGATAGAGGCCAGAAGCCAAGGTCTAGTCTAGAAAGGCCCTCCTAGAAGAAAGAGATGCAGACAAGGGGTCAGGAGAGATCACAGTGGTCAAGAAGAGGGCAGTGTGAGGCTACAGCTGGCCATGACCTTGGCTGGGCCTAGAGCCCTGTGAATGAGGGTGCAGCATTTACACAGTGGCTAATCTGAAGCTTTAGTGTAGTCAGGTCGCTATAGAGGCCCCAGGGTTGTTGGAGGCCGGGGGGCCTAGGGATCCATATCCCCAGTCACTCTTGTCTCCCCTGCTTTCCTTAGCCTTTGTTGAGGGTCAGAGGGTATGATGTAGGGAAGGTGTGTGGGTACCAGTCCAGCATCACTTGCAGACAGACATAAATCACAGCCACAATCAGTGTGACATAAGCTGATGATGACAATCCCTGTGGGCCTGGTCCCAGTAAAGCAAGAGCTCTGTTGCAGGGCTGAACTGCCTGCAGAGCTTTGTGTCAGGGCTGAGAACGCATGGCTGCATATAGGCAGCAAGGAAGGGCCCCCCCTTCAATCTTCTTCCTTCCCTTTAGGGTCCCTGTGCAGCCTTCAATTTCCCCTCCCCCACCCTACCACCCCTACTGCCTGCAGAATTCTAGAAAGAATCCAGGGACAATGCTCCAGACAGTGTCTGAAGTGAGGGGCCACCATGGTCCATACCTCCTCTCACAAACCCCCTGGGCCCAAAGCCCTGAAGACCCATCCCACTGTGACCTACTGGAAGATCAATGAAGGTCTGGTGTTGGAGAGCCCTGCTCACTGCCCCTCTGCAACCTGGCCATTTGGCTGGCAGGGAAAGTAGGATGAGAGGGTGGGTCTCCAGCCCCAGCCTGGGTTTGCATAGATTTCCTTTCCCTTTTCTCATCTCTCCTGCCTTGGTTGACAAGGGGGTACACAGACATGCCAGATCTCTGTTCTCCAGAGCTGACTTTGTAGGTAAGAAAAAAGATAGCTACCATACAGTGACACAGATGCTCTGACAGATGCCCAGGCAGGTCACCTGACCCACCTGCTAGTCAGAGAAGTCTTCCTGGAGGAAAGGGTGTCCACACTGAGCCCTGAAGGATGCCATGGGTTATCTTGGTGAAGAGGCAGAAAAGTGAGCATTGGAGCTGAAAGAATAGGATGTGCAGGGGTTCAGTGGCAAGAGAGCAGGTAACTGAAAACGTGCACTTAGGTGGAGAAAGGTGAGAGGGAGCATGTGCAGGGGCTGGAGGCCATGGAAGCTGTGTTAAGAATTTGAACTTGAGCAATGGGTAGTAGGGAGCCATTGACAAGCTCAAAATAGGGCAGTGACATGGTCAGCTTTGAAAGACCAAGGTCAAGATCAAGATCTGTTTCTGGGGAGGAAGGGAGAGATCAGGGACACCTGGTGGAGATAATGGGGGGGACTAGTGGACACATTTGAGGACTTGGGAATGGCCCTGGGGAGGGGCACAGGAGCGGGTGGTATAATCCCTACCAAGGCACAGAGCACAAAAGCTTGCTTTTATTTATTCATTTATTTATTTGTGATACTGGGGTTTGAACTCAGGGCCTCACACTTGCTAGGCAGGCACTCTATCACTTGAGCCACTCCACCAGTCGCCGAAGCTTTTATTTTTATCTCATTTGTTCTCCATGAAGTGGGGCATCACTACCCTGAATCAGAAGAAGATCAGAGAAGGCTGGTGACTTGCTCAAGGTCACATGGCTAGTCAGTCTTAGAGGGCAATGGATCCATCTGTGGGTCTATTGGACTATAGAGCCTATGCTCTTCCAAAAGCCTGAGTTCCAGAACCAGGCCCCAAACCTTCATACCCACCCAACCCCACTTCTTGCGCTTGTCCCGACTTTGTTTCCCCTTCAGCCCCCACCAGGCCCTGGTTTCAGCCAGAATACCAGCGGGTCCAAGACCCCCACAGATCCCACTCCAAAGGCCTCAGAGCAAGCCAGGGCCAGGATCTGTGACCTTGGGACATCTTAAGTTGCCTGGAGAATGAGTGTCCCTTTTCTGATCCTGGGTTACAAGGAAACCAGAGTGTCCAGGAAGGGGATGGGGACACCAGAGGGAAGGATCACATTCATATGACAGAACTTGGCCCTCAGAGCCCCAGCCAGGCAGAGGGAGAGGGAAAGGAGATAGTTCATTCCCAAGACCCAGAGCAGGAAGAACAAGAAGTGACCAGGGAGAAAGATGTAGGGGTGGGGCTGGGGTGGGCTAGAGGTGGGTGTTTAATAAAGGGGCTGGAGGGAAAGACTTCAGTGGATCCAGAGAGCCATCCCGGTGGAAAGACACTCTAGTGGATGGCAATTTCTAGGGACCGAGGCCCTCATGGCTGTCCACCTTCCCACCCAGGCAGCTCTACATATGATGGCGGTTACCCCACTGGACACCATGAGCTATTCACCACCTTCAGTTGGGATGACCAGAAAGTTCGACGGGTCTTCATCAGAAAGGTAACTGCCTCTCCCTGATTCTCCAGGACTGGGCATTCAGTGAGGGAGCCCCTTGAGAGGCCCCTGGCCCAGCCTCTGCCTGCAGAAGCCATCCTCCCCTTCTCTTCCCATCCCACTGAAGGCTCCTACTAGAAGGTACTCATTCGATTTCACTCCAGGGCCCCACTGAGCATCCCTCTGGGTCCTGTGGGGTCAGTAGGTGGGACTAGAGATTCCAGTAGGTCCCTGGGAGCTGAGGTCTCTCTGAGCCTCGCTGGGGGCCTGAGCTTACCTGGCCTCAAACAGGGCTCCCAAAACTGAGTGGAACCCTCACCTCCTCCCAGGTCTATACCATCCTGCTGATCCAGTTGCTGGTAACCTTAGGTGTCGTGGCTCTCTTTACCTTCTGGTGAGTTGGTGATATGGACTGGCACCTTTAGGGGCATGATACCTCTCTTGGAATGTTCACCCAGAGAGATTTGGTTGGGGGGAGCCCCTGCTGGGAAGAACCTTAAGCACGCAGTGCGGGGAGTCCCTGACAAGTGTAAGGAGGACCTGGAGGCCCTCTGGACCACAGGTGTCTGTGAGGCAGTCACTCTGCTCAGCTCTATTAGTCCAGGTCCTAGCCTGGTCTGGGGACAGGAACTCCCTGAGTCTCCAAGGGCCACATCTCTCCACTTTCCTCTGAAGTCCTGAGAACTGTGTGGGCCAGATGCGGATGTTAAACCAGAAACCTTGGGTAAATTCTGACTTCTGTCTCCTTCTCTGCAGTGACTCTGTTAAGGACTATGTCCAGGCCAATCCTGGCTGGTACTGGGCATCCTAGTAAGTATGCTCCTCCCAGCCCCCTTCCCAGGGAAGGCCCGGGCTCGAAGAGGGAATCTGAGTTTCTGTGGACAGATCCAAACCCTTGACTTCCCACACCCACGGGGACTGTCCTCACAGACGCCCAGCCCTGCCCTGTACTCCTGGCTGCAGAGCATGGCCACGGGGACCTTTCTGGGCTATTTAGATCTGACGGGGCAGGCAGGAGGTGGAGGTAGGTTCTGGTACCTGCACAGGTTGGGAAGGGTGAAGCTGGGCCCATGGCTGGAGAAACCCAGTACCTTGGCCCTAGAGGGGAGTGACTGGAATACTTGAACCACACTAATGATAATGTTGCTACTCTTATTAACATTGTTATTAATGCTTATGAAATCATTAATCATAATAGCCAACACTTAAAGAGTGCCTAATTAGGGCTGGGCATTGTTCTGTGTACTTGATGTACAGATTGCATTTGATCCTCAGATCTACTGGATATGATTACCTCAGAAAATGAAGGCTCAGAGAGGTTGGGTAGTTTGCCCAAGGTCACACAGCTAGTCAGTGGCGGAGCTGGGATTCAAATCTAGGGTTCAAGTTAAAGCTTGTGCCCTGCTTGGCAGTCTCCCTTCAGCAACTTGTTTCTGCTAGTCCTGTGTTCTTTAAGGAAACATGACAGACAACTTGGGAGAAGAAGTTAGAATTTGTAGGTGATTCTGACTCTCCTTCCTGGTCATTAAGGAGTTATTCTGCATAATTTCAGGCTAGACCCACCTGGGCTCAGAGAACTGCTCTCACTATAGTCTCCTTCAGCACCCACTGTGAGCCCAGCCCCGTGCTAGAGTTGCTGGGGAGGAGGACTCTGCCTATAGGGGACAATAGTGTGCAAAACTGCAGTGTTTGGAAGAGGGGCACATCGGGGGGCTCTCAGCCCACATCGGGAGGTACATCTCAATGGGTGGCCAAGAAGATTGGGACATCACTGCCAGGAGAGGAGTGGCTTAAGCAAAGAGCTTGGGCGTGAGAATGCACCTGACACACAAGGTACATTAGGGCCTGAGCTGGCAGGAGCAGGATGGGACATCTGTGAGCACGGGGGGGCCAGATCTCCTGACTGAGGAGAGTGCACACTGATCCATCCTGCCTGGTCCTGGATAGGGATCTGCTGGGGAAGTGGGCTCAGCCCAGAGCCCCCTAGGCCACCTCGTGCCCAGAGCAGTGTCAGAGTTGTGTCTAGAGTTGCCCAAGCCTGCCACAGGCTGACAGTGAGATGACTCCTCCTGGCCTCTGGGCTCTGTGGAGGAGCAGTGCTGCCTCTTCAAGCTGGCGGGGTACCGGGGAGAAGACATTCACACCCAGGCCCGTTCTCAGGGCACAGGACAGCGTACCTGTCTGCAGACCAGCAGGTAGGCCTGTGTCTTGGGGCATTAAGAGACACCGTATATAAAACTAATGAGGCCCTAGGGGCTGCCACCCCAACCAGCCCTGATAGCAGGTTGGCATGGCTCCTGACACGTCAGCACCTCCTGGCAGCCTCAGCCCCCTAAGAACTTGGGAATGGAGTCCTTGGGGCCCTCTCTGGACCTTCTGTGGAAGGTTCTGCAGGACTCCATTCCCTGAGCACATGGTGGCAGGGGACAGCCCAGGCATGAGCAGGTTCAGGAATCAGGGCAGAGTGTACCCCACTGTGCATGTTAAGGGGCCTCTGAATAGGGGGATTTGGTGTCTGTCCTCCCCACCACCTCAAGGTGGAAAGCAGAAATGTGCTAACTGACTCCAGTGTGGCAGCAGTGGAGAAGGGTTGGAAGTGTGTTTTTCACGGGGTGTCGCAAAGTATTAAAGGTGCTTGGAATCCCACCACCAGGATGCCCTTTTTCTTCAGGAAGTCTACCTGGGATTCTGCCCTAACCCCTTCTCTCCCTTAATTTTCCCTGAGCAACTCCTGTCTGAGTCCTAATGGATCTTAGTCTTCTAGCACACCAAGTGCTCCCTGAGGGCTGTCCTAATCTCTTCCTTTTAGAAGAGCAATAATAGCAATGAGAATAAAACAGCTCTTTTCCTATGCATGAGGCACTGTGCTATAATTTTCACTCATCCTTTCAATAACCCTAGCAAGTAGGTACTGTAATTAAGCCCATTCTACAGATGAGGAAATTGAGACAGAGAGAAGTTATTGCTTCCTAAGCAGCACAGCCAGGATGGAAACCCAGGTCTGTCTGATGGTGAAATCCACATGCTTACTGTCTGTGCTCTTTTGCCTACAGCACTGGGCCCTAAAGCAGGACAAGTTGGAAGGACTTTGGGTTTGATGGCAGGTCTTCACCTGAGTCTCACTCCCTGTCCTGACACTTTGTAAACAGACTATCCCAGGCCCTGGGGCTCAGGCTCTGACGTGCAATCAGCTGTTCTCTCACCCTTCCCTGACTCATTCTTGCTCCTTGGGGCACCAGCCTCCCGACACACACTCCAGCCCCAGCTTTCTCAAGGTCCCTGTTGTCTCCCTCCATTGGGTTCTCGCCTTATTGTTTGATTGCTCCCACTGAGCCATGGTGTCTGCCACAGAGTGGGGAGAGAAAACCAGGCAGAGGAGGAAAAACGTGAGGTTAGAGCTGGGGTGGAGGTGAGTCGAGGAAGCTATCCATCAGCCAGCTTTTAATTGCAGTAATAGCAGCTCCCATGGAAGAGCCGTGCCCCACACCAAGCCCCGTGCTAATGTTTCACCTGCATCCTCTCATCAGGCCTCCTAGAGTCTGTGATTGGTACCAGTGTTCCTGTTTGATAAAGCAGGGAACTGGGACTTGGCTACTAAGTTCTCATCCACCATCACACAGCAGTAGGGGCATGCCTGAGTCATGAATGCCTGCCGGCCTTGGGCTGCAAAGCTGCACCATAGTCTCCTTCCTCCTGATACCTTGTTAAGGCACAGACCAGAACCATGAGAGGACAGGAGACAAGGCCCTTGCCTTCAGCTAGCTTCTAGTCTGGCTAGAGTGACAGGACCCACACCCAGGATACACAAAGGCAAGGGTACGATTATTATCGTTGTTGAAGTGACTGACCAATGACTCAGGAGAGACCAAAAGAGAGCAGATTCTGGAGCATTTCTCAATCTGGGCAGGCTGGCCCACAAGAGCAGGGTACACAGCAGCTCCTGCACCTGGTACCACGAGCAGAACTCCCTGGTCACCGTGACAGTGGCTCCACATTATTTGAGAACCCCTAAAGAATAGGAAAGGCCAAGATAGGAGGTCCTGTTTGCCAAAACTGATGGGCTTGTCTCAGCTTCTGCACTGTCTGGCTTTTGTTTGTTATTGTTTTTTCATTTTATCTAGAAATGTTTAAAGAGCACCTACCAGGTGCCAGTCCCAGGTTAGATGGTGGAATACGAAATGACTAAGTTTCAGGCTGGCCCCCCAGAGGCTTCCCTTGGGTGGGGAGTGGGTTTTGCTTGTTGTAGTCTGGGGTCAGTTGAGGGTCACCATGGTACAGAGAAAGCCCTCTGGAAGAGGTAGCTTCCAGTGCCCTTGCCAGCAGGTCCTTGCCAGTAGAAGCAAAGTGGTGGGCATGGTTCGAGGGTACAGAGCACCTTGTGATGAGAAAGATGGGTGAAGGGGCAGAGTGTGGTGAGAGGTGGCAGGGCGGACTATGTTGGTCTTCAGGAATTTCATATGAGGGAGCCACAGGATCATGGATCCACCTGTAGTATGGAAGGTGGAAGGCAGAGCTGGAGGCAGGAGATCAATCAAGACCAGAGAGAAAAGAGAAAGAGGAGGCCCACCCTCAAAGGGACGTAAGGATGGTAGGAAGAGTGCAGATTTGAGAAGTGCTTGAATAGGAGGCTGGACAGATGCAGGTGATTAATTGGGCATTCCAGGGCAAGTGTGAAGGGTGATGTTGAATCTCTGACTGGGTGGCTTGGCAGGTATATGGAATCCTCTGTAGTAGGGTGCAGGAGGGTGGCTGGGTTGGTGTGTGGCTCCTCTGCAGTAGGGGTGCAGGAGAAGGAGCAGAGAGGAGAGCTCTGCTCTACCCTGTTGAATGTAATGCATTTCTGAAGAGCCATGTCTGCCCATTAGACAGCTGGCTGTACCAGTCTAGGGTTAAGAAGGAAAATGTAGGTCTGAGATATGGGGTCTGAGTCCTATGAATGAGTGAGCCCACCTAGTAAGAGTGAAAAGGGAGAAGAGTCTGCAATGGAGGAACCGGGCATATTCAGAGACTCCTTGGAGACTGAGAATGAGTGTCCGGGGAGGGGAACCAGAAGTGTGTCATTGTGGGACCAGGGAAACAATGGGAGTGGTCAGACACTGAGGTCAGGTAAGGTAAGGACTTGACAAGTGTCAATTGGACTCAACAAGGTCACCATGACGTGGCCAATTCGGCTCTCATTAAGTGGGGCTGAGACAGGGTTTACTGGGTTGGTAAGATGGAGGAGAGGACATCGTGTGTGAAGACACCTGTATCAAGAAGTTTGACTGCAAGTTTGGATAGAGTGGCTGCAGCTAGTGTTGGAGATGTTAGATGAACATGGAGATGGGCTGGGGAGGTTTTTGTGGGAGAAGTGCCAGCAGGAAGAGATCACAGGGCTGTTGAGGTATAGGACCCAGAGTCCAGGATGGGGAGATTGGGCTGGAAGAGATGAGGAATGAGAGAACCCATAGCACCATATAAAGTTTGCAGGTGGCAGGCCAGGAGCCAAAGGAGCCCCACCTTATTATCTCACATCTTTCTGGGACACATCAGGTAGGCTATGCAGAGAGAGACAGCCTAGGAGGCTTGGAGAAGGAGGAGGACTTTGAAATTGCTGCTATAAAGAGTGGGTGAGAGATCAGGAAGGAGATGGGGAAATAATGGCAGTGCCACCATGCTTCGGTGGTGGTGCTAACCCCATGCTTGGGTCCTCAGCCCTCATTTCCACCTCCTAAAGTGGTCTCTGCTCCACTGCTCTCCAGAAAACCTTCAATGGTCAGTCACTGTCTCTGAATTTCTTCTGAGTCTCCTGCCACCTCTCACTGGACATGAACCCCCATCCAGAAATTCAGTCTACAGATGACACTTCCTACTTGGGCCAGGTACCCATGCTGAGCTCACAGCCTAATAGGCCAAGCCAACAATAAAGAAACTAACAAAAGAATTGCTGGTAATGATGGGGCTGAAAGAGGCAGTGTGGGGGAATGCTTGTGAGTGAGTTACCTGGAGCCAGAGTGCCTGGGTTCCAGTCCTGCTTCTACAACAAGATAATTGCATGCATGACCTTGGACAAATCACCTGACTTCGCTGTGCCTCTGCTCTAAAGTAAAAGACATACTTCATAGAGAAGACAGGAGGATTACATTAGTATTTGTAAAACACTTTAAAAACTGTCTAGCAGAGTAGTATCCCTGAAGTTGTCCCATGGCACCCCATATTCAATATTGCTAGGAGCAGGCTCCTCCTGTCTTCCTTCCTCTCTTCTGGACCACCACCCTGGCTCATCTCCAGGTTCTAAGATGATCATGTCCATCTCCCTGCCCCCCACTATCCTGCCTGGCACCTTGTGGACACAGGTGGCAGAGGAGGATGAGCCCAGGGCTGGGTGGAAGGTCACAGGAGGGACTGACTGACTTACCCATTCATCTGTCTCTCATAGTGCTGTGTTCTTTGCAACCTACCTGACCCTGGCTTGCTGTTCTGGACCAAGGTATGATAATGACTCAAGGAGCAACCTGTGGAAAGATGAGCAGGACCTTGAAAGTCCTGACCCCAGCCCTGCCAGCTGCCCCTGTGCTGTGTACCTCAGAAGGGGTTCTGTCAAGCAGGCCAGCCACTCCCTTCTTCACTTGGCACCTCTGAGTTGCAAGGAGGGTAGATGGACACATGGGAGCATGTAGGGTGTGGCTGAAAGAAGAGGCTCAAGGAGTAGAGGGAGGCAGAGACTCCCTCCCCGCAAAAGTGACTCTCATCTGAGGTCTGTGGCTTGCCTTTCAGGAGACACTTTCCCTGGAACCTGATTCTGCTGACCATCTTTGTAAGTGGCTGGGGTGGGCTGGGGATGGATGCTGAGTGGGGACAGAGGAAGGACAGAAGCAGCATGGGCTCTGAAAGCCAGAGAGTCTGGACTGGGGACATCTAACATGATGTCCTGTGGGGCAGGGCTGTTATGCCCCACAGGACATCCCACCCTCCATTTCCAAATGGACTTAGCCTCCCCCTCTGCAGCCAGTCTCTGTTGGTTGTGCTTTTGTTCTTAAGAACAAAAACAAGGGCTAGGATAATGGGGGAGAGGGAGTGGTCTTACCAATGGGAAGAGCAGGGCTGCCTAAGAGAGAAAAGAACAATTGGGCTGAGGAGCTGGGCCTGAGCCCTGAACATAAAGCTGGGTAGGGGTGATCAGCACTGAGGGCCACATGCACAGGCAGAGGTCTGGGCTGGATCTTGCAGGTGAATGAGGGTTCCACTGAGTCTGGGCTGGACTTGAGGGTACCTGATAGCACTTGAGTCTGAGTGCTGGAGCACCCTGCTTCTCCTTTCAGACCCTGTCCATGGCCTACCTCACTGGGATGCTGTCCAGGTAAAGGGGACAGGTGGAAGGAGGGGAGGACCAGGCTTGCAGCCAGCATTTGACCACACCTGAGGGGAGCTGCCTCCACACCCTGTCATTTCCTGAGAGCATTTGGATGGGGGAGGGGGTTCAGACAGCAGGAAACTTTAACCTAGAGCCCTCTCCTTGGGCACTCACCTGGTCAGTGTCTCCAGGACCTAGCCAGGTGGGTGGGGTAGGAGTGGGGGATGGTGGAGAGTAAGTGACTCCCTCAAGCTGTAGCTTAAAAGTCCCCAGTCTCAGCCAGGCTGAGACCAGTGGCTCATGCCTATAATCCTAGCTATTCAGGAGGCAGAGATCAGGAGGATTGTGGTTTGAAGCCAGCCCGGGCAAATAGTTTACGAGACCCTATCTCGAAAAATACCCATCACAAAAAAGGGCTGGTGGAGTGGCTCAAGGTGAAGGCCCTGAGTTCAAGTCCCAGTACCACAAAAAAAAAGTCCCCAGACTCCTGACCCTAGTTATCTGTAAGCCACCTCTAGGCACCAGCACAAGTCCCTCCCACCCACCCTCACCCACCTATTCCAGAATCTTCTAACAGGATAGTGAATCTAAGTGGGCTGGGAGGAAGGTTGGCAGGGCCTGAGAGAAAGGCTGGGGAAGCTGAGGGAGGTCCTGGGCAAAGGGACAGGGTTGGGGCCATAGGTCATGAGATCAGGTCCCGGCAGGAGAGGATGACCCGTGAGGAGGCTAGGAGAGAATAGAGCCCTACTGAGGCTTACCCCGGCCCTTTGCTCCTCAGTTACTACAACACTACGTCTGTGCTGCTGTGCCTGGGCATCACGGCCCTCGTCTGCCTCTCAGTTACAGTCTTCAGCTTCCAGACCAAGGTCAGTTCTGGGGCCTGTGTGCAGGGGAAGGCACATCGGACAACTTCATAGGGAAAAGAGAGCAGGGTTGGTGAGAGGTAAAGGGGTGAGTTGCACCTGGGAAGGCCACCTGAGGAAAGAGGGATATGCTAGGTTCTGGATGTGAGCCCAAGACTGTGGGCTTCAACCAATGGCCAGCACACCACCAGGGGTGGGGTTCTGTGTGGGCCCAGATCCAGCACTGACTGTCTTCCTGTCCTGCAGTTTGACTTCACCTCCTGCCAGGGTGTGCTCTTCGTGCTGCTCATGACCCTCTTCTTCAGTGGACTCATTCTAGCCATCCTCCTGCCCTTCCAATATGTGAGTTCCCAGCCTTCAGGCCCATGGAGTGGGGGGAAAGCCCACTGCCTGGGGTGCTGTTCCCTCCTGCACCCTCCAGAGCAGGCCCAGGGCCAAAGCTCCAGTCTGCCATCTTGTCCAGCCCCTCCTGGCACCTGCTTTGGGTGTGTTGGCAGTGTCAGCAAGCAAACAAGGAGGCTTTTCTTGGCAGGTCTGGGCACCTGCCTGGCACTATGAGCCCGCATCCGGCTTCACCTTTCCCATACTCCCTGCAGGTGGAGGGATGGGGGAGGGGAGGATGCACTAGGGCTCCTTGAGTCCAAAGAGGCAGAATCTGGCTGGCCAGGCAGGTAGGAGGAGGGGGCAGTGAGGTGGGAGCAGGCCCCCACCCTATCCCGCATCCACTGGCTGGAGGGTAATCCTCAGCTCTTCTAGTGGCATCCAGCCTGCCCTGGGGAATGCCAACTGGAACTGTACGGGTACTCACACCACTGCACATAGGAGATTGGGGGACTTCACAGTACAGTCTTGAGGTTTGAATCCTGGGGACCCAAGAGAGGAAGCAGTTGGACTCCTGCTGGGTACCAAACCCAGGCAGGTTTGGCACTTGTTCCTCCATCTGCTAGGGCTAGGAGGGTATTCCTCACTCCCCTAACCCACCTCTATCCTAACCAGCCCCAGCCTCAGGGCACTTGGCTCCCAGTCCAGGACCTCAAGACTGGTTCTGGCATTTCCTTGGCTCTCCCCAGGATCCTGTTGACAAAGGGAAGGGCCGGAGCTGGCCTGGGGGCCCTCTGTGTATCTAGGATGGGGAGGGGGGGTTACAGGAAGGGGCCCCAGAACTTCAAAGAAACACTTTATTGATCCAGGTCCCACTAATAGGATGCCCTTGTTTCCAGGAATCTTTTGGAAAGCTTCCTGGAAGAACCCCAGAGAGGGCAGGGCTAGTTAGCATAGCACCTCATGTCTGTGAGGTTTTAACACACAGCTGGGTGACCCTGAGACCTGTGGAGAGGGAGATCTGGGGGAGTGGAGATTGGGAGGGGTACTGTTCTGGCCTCCAGAGGCAGGCCCACCATGTACAGCTGGCAGAGACTACAGATGACCCCTCCCCTACACACCCTGAGTTCCATCTGTTCCCTTTCTCCTGAGCTTCTTGCTCTCAAGGCAGAGCCAGGGAGCTCCCTAACTGAGGAATAGACAGACCCCAGACTGGACAGAGGTGAGTGCAGACTGGGAGGCAGGAGCAGCCTCCAGCCAAACCCAGGCTGGGAGGATGACAGGGACAAGACAAGATGAGTCATCCTAGTCCAGCCTGAGCCTGAGGTTGTGTATTGAGGGAAGAAGAACCAGGTCTGTGGGGAGTTCCCTGACTCTGTGATTATCCTGGGGTCACCTCACCTTGTCATTCTACCAACATGAGTACCCAGAGAATCATGAAGCCCTCTCAGTCCTGGGCCTTCTTAGGGAGTGCTGGAGTGGGCTAGTCACATCTTCCATCTTCTGGACTGAGCCTGCCTCCCAGCACCTTCACTTACTGCTCCTTCTGGCATCCTAAGCCCATCTTTACTCTGTCCACAGGTGCCCTGGCTCCATGCAGTCTATGCCGTGCTAGGAGCAGGCGTGTTTACACTGGTAAGTTTGGCCCAGTTCCCCTCTGTCTCAGCTTTGTGATCATCTCCCCAGGCCCCTCTACCACCCCTGTCTTCCTCACAGGCTCCCTCAGAACACTTTTAGAACACCTAGAGGATGGGCCAGCTCAGTGCTGCCCCATCAGGGAATTCTATCTGGTGTCCAAGACAGACCAGCTGACCTGGACAGCAGGATCAAAGCTGTAGACAGAGGCAGTGCTGGGAGAGGGGCACCTCCCTCGTTGTGGGGAAGGGAGCGTGGGAGTATCCTGCCTTGTGGACCAAGTTAGTATTCTTCTGGGGCAATCTGGTAAGGCTTAGAGCCAAGGAGATTTACCTGGTGAGAGACTCTGTTAGGCTGAGCTTGTTTTTTGCTGCTCCCACCAAACTGTGAAGGTTGGTGATGATAATGATGGTTATGGTAATAATAATAATAGCTAACATTTATTGAGCATTTCTCTCCCCCCACCCCACCACCCCCCACAAACTCTTGGTGTATACTTAATTGGCAAGTCTATAGATAAGTTCTACTGTTAGTAAATTAAAATGAGAAAACTGAAGCTCAGAGATGTCAAATGAAATGCCAAGGTCATAAAGCATCCCTGGAAATGGTAGGGCCAACCTGGGAACCTGAACCATCTGGCCCTGAGGCCCACTCAGGGTTAGAGGCTAGGTGGGAAGTGCCTGGAAGAAGATACCAAGGAGACAAGAGGTGGCCAGGGACAGATTCATTCCAGAGAAGCCTAATCCAGACCTTTTGTTTAGGTGGGCTTCCAGCACTCAAATGTAGTTGTGCTCCAGGATCCACCCAGGTGGGCAATCTTGTTGGTGACATCTTCGTGAGAAGGCATCCAAAGTAGCCATCCATTGCCAGTAAAAGCAGTGACCATACTCTCCTCTCCCTCACTGACAAGTTCAGCTCCACTAAATGGCCAGAGTTCCTGGCCTAATCACACACTTCATCCTGTCACAGGTGACAGGATGTCTGCAACAGCCCAGGGAAGGAGGCAGTGCTGATGTAAGAATTTCCTTCCACATTAGAAACTTTGGGTGTTAAGGGACACACAGTCTCATAGCCAGCAAGGGGCAGATCGGAGACCAGGACTCAGGGGTCCTGTGCCTGGTTCGGTGCCATCTCCAGGGCCCTGTGGTCCCCCTCAAAGAGGACAATGTCTATTGACTTGGGGTTGGGTAGAGGATGGGGATGTCTCCTGCAGTTTTTTTCCTCTATTACATCATGGGTTAAAGGAAACTGGCCATAACTATGAGCAGAGGTTTTAGAGGGGGCTATATAGATCAGCCAGAATTAGCATGCATCCTTTCCACAAGTTTTTTATTGAGCATCTTCTAGGTGTGACATGCTGGGCTGCATGCTCAGATGCCACAGTCAGCTGGAAGTGCACAGTGTGCAACACATAGTGGCACTAAGTGAATATGGTGGAAGGAACCAAGGACTTCCAGGCCTCAGAATTTGAGAGCTGGAAGGGTTTGAAACTCCAAGGGCTTCTCTTACAAATGGGAAAACCAGATTCCAGAGAAGTTAGGTGATTGGTCCAACGTTTCCTGGCAAGATAATGGCAAATCGAGTAAGTGTGGGCTTGGTGAAGACCAGGGTGCCAACTTATCCCAGTCTACCTGTGCCATTCCCAGTTTTAGCACTGAAAGACCCACTTTTTGGGGAGTCAAGTCCAGAGCAAAGTGGGATGGTTGGACACCCTGAGACATTCTCTTCTCCTGCCTCCTGGACCAGTACTCTTCCTTCCAGGCCATATCTTAAAAGTGCCGTTCAAAAAAGATTGGAGGGTGGGGGAGTGAGGAATTGGGCCAGAAGGAAAGAAAGGAAGAAGCATTTAGGGTAGTAAGCCCAGGCAGTATCATCAGGAGATCTCAGAGGGCAGCATTTGCCAGGGACAGAAGAGGGGTTAAACCAGGGCAAGAGAGGCTGGTGGAACTGGAGGAGAGTAAGTACCCATAAGGACCAAGGGCGTGTACTTGACTTCCGTGAAGGTCAGGTCAGGGCAAGTGCAGAAGCTGCACAGGAAAGGCTGTATGTATAGTAGGACTGGGTGAATGGTAAGCCCTTAAATCTGCTTAATAATCCCATGTATTATTAGAATAATAAAAAATAATCCCAGCCATTTGTTCCACCTGTTACATTCTGCAAAAACACTTTCCCAGTCAATACCTCATTGGATCTCCACCACAACTCAGGGAGGGAGGCAAGTGCTGGCTGATAGAAGAATTGCCTTCTACATTGGAAACCTGGGTGTTACAGGGCTTCAGAGTCTCACAGCAAGAAAAGGACATCCAGGTGTCCTGTGGCCAACCTAGCATCATTCCCAGTGCCCTATGGTCACCCACAAAGAGAACAACTTCTACTGGCTTGAGGCTGGGGAGTGCTCTGCAGAGATTTTTTTCCTCTCTTGCATATCAGTATTGTCCTCTCTGCTGGACTGTTTCTGTCAGCATGGAGCACGCTATAATTTCTCCCATCTGAAGAAAAATCCCAGAAAACACTCTTGACCCACATGTGAGAATCTAGGGCTGGGGTCGTAGCTCAGTCAGAGAGTGCTTGCCTAGCATGCATGAGGTTGTGGGTTTGATCTATAGCACCACAAATAAACAAGCAAACAAAAACAACCAAAAAAATCCATCTAACTCCTCACTTTCTCCCAATTCTTCCCTCCTTTTCTGGGGGGTAGTAGTGGTGGTGGTATTAGCATTTGAATTCAGGGCCTCACACTTGCTAGGCAGGAGCTGTACCACTTGAGCCATGCCCTAGCTCTTTTTTGCTTTGGTTATTTTTCAGTTAGAGGCTCTCATTTTTGCCCATAGCTGGCTTCAAGCCATGATTCCCCTATCTGTTCCTCCTGAGTACTGGGATCACAGATGGAAGCCACCATACTGTCTTAATTCTTCCCCTCCTAACCATCTACCTCCTATCCAGAACCTGAGCATTTCTATCCACCTTCATGGCCCTCCCTGGTGCCAGCCACCATGACTTCCCACCAGGTTCATGGCCATGGTCTTCTGCAGGCTGTCTGCCCCTGCTTAGCCCACAGTCTGTACTCCACACTGAGGCAGTGACTGCTAGAGTGAGGCAGTCAGGGCATCCCCCCAGTTTGGCCTTGGGGTCCAGCAGTTGTTTCCCATAGGCTCCCTCTGATGTCTCCCTCACGCATTCTGCTGCAGCCACACTGGCCTGTTGCTGCCTGGCATGGCAGACTCATTCCACAACCAGGGCCCCACACCTTCACTGTGCTGCTCTGTCTGTCCCTTGGGGGCTCTCCCCGAGCTCTCTCCTTCTCCTTCAAGGGTCCACTTCATTTATGATGCATCCACGCTCACAAATTGTTCCTTCCTCCTTCCCAGATTTATGTCTCTCTATAGCACATCTCATCCTCTGACACACTATATGTTTTCCTGGTCTGTTATTTATTGGTTTTCTCCCTCTTTGAGAGCAGGTTTTGGTGTTTTGTTTTGTTTTGTTTTTTCTGGCTTATTTACTGCCGTAGCCCCAACAGTGCCTGGCACACAGTAGGCACCTGGGATTAATGGATGCCTGAAAGGTGTGGCACCTGCTGAGGTGCTAAGATGACCCAGGTTGCACAGTTGAATGAGACACTGCCCGACAGTCTCCTGTGAGTCACGGGGAGGAGGAAGAACTGTGGTGCCCAATTACCCCCTTAATGTCTCATTCAATCAACACACAAAAGGCCTAGGTTGGGATCATCTTGCAGGTTACATAAACAGTGGCTGGTAAATCTGGTCAAAGAGGGGAAGACAGGCTCCCTGGGTGCCCCAGTGCAGGGAAAAGTCAAGTACAGGGGCAACCAGACTCATTCCACCCTCTTCCTCTTAGTTTCAGGTGGAAGGGCTCTCAGTAGTCACCATATAAGAACTAAAATTCCCATACCTTTTCATGAACTCCGACTCAGCAGCATACTCTGTCTTTTTGCCAACCCTACTTCCAGCATCACTGTGAGATCTGTGCTCCCCTAGCTCTAGCCCAGCACTCTCTGGTATCTCCTTCTGCCCATTCTGGCATTTCCCACCTGGCCTTTGGGGGAGTCTTGGCATAATGGGGGTCTCTCCTAGTACTGCAGCTAGACAAGAAATGCAGATTGCACTCAGCAAGATGTGCAAGAAAAGGGTGAAAAGAAGTGTCAGGTGAGGCCCCAGACCCCCAGAGGAACCTTCCTTCCCAACCAGCCTGGGCTTTAGTGGGGTGGGGGAATCCAGTGATTTTTTTCTGCTAGAAACTTCAGACCTGCCTCATAGTCTGCCTTCTTTGAGAGTAGGGCCACTCTGCTGGACTGGGCTGCAATTTAGGGGTGGAAAGACAAGGCTTCTTAGGGCTCTGGTCCAGCCTTGAGGAACAGGCCCATCCTAGGCCTCACCCACATCCAGCCCTGGCACACTGTCAGGAAGCCTTGAGTTTCCAGCCTCTCCCCTAACCCCTACCCCCAATGGATACCAGAACTCAAACACCCATAGAAGTGGGTGAGTCAAATGAAAGACATTGGCCTCAGAGTGGCCAATCATCCTCTCACTCTTAGAGCCCTCTCCTGGGTGTTTTTAGTGGAGATTCATGGCTGGGCTGGGGTGAAGGGACAGGGCTATGGGGCTGGAGCAGAACTGAGAAGGGATGGGGCCAAGTACCTTAGCCAGCTGGTTTCTAACAAGAGCTGAGCCTTCATAGTCTCCATGACTGGGAAGGCCACTCCATCTCAGAGCTGGGCCAATTTTGGGGGAAATTAAGGTCTCTGAACCACCCAAACCAGGAAGCCAAGTCCCAAGACCTGGGGAAGAAAATAGACATAGGACTTTAGAAATCAAGTGGTGGGCCTATTGGGAACAGAACTCTCCCTTCCATGCCCAGCCCCCAGCCAGTATAAGGATCTTTGGAGCCACTGAGAGTTGATAAGAAACATCACAATACCACACTTTGGGGAAGATCTGTGGGAAACCAAGTGGATAGGCCAGGTTTTCTGAGAGTAGTAA